CCTCCAGATATCATGAGTCTTCCTCCTGAGTGCCTCCTCAAAGTCTTGAAGTCGCTCTATGGACTTCGCATTGCACCAAGGAGATGGTATCTTAAGTTCACGCAGGTGTTGAAGACGGTGGGAGCAAGTGGGATAGGACATGATGAGATCATCTACCGATACTCCAACTGTGCGGGGGACGTCTTGCTTCTGACTGTCTTCGTGGATGACTTACTCATTGTCTCTCAAACTGAAGCAGTTAAGATTGAGTTTCTTGAGAAGCTCAACACAGTATTCGACTTTTCGGGGAGTGAGGCAACAGGTACCTTCTTGGGCATTAAAATAGAACAGAATGACGATCAGGGTCGGATAACTTTGTCACAACAGCATTTCATTGAAAAGATTGTTGAACGCTTTGAAATCGTTGCCAGGGGTGTCAAAACGGTATTACCTGGTCACTATCTCAAGACTTATCACTTGGAGGGTAAGTTGTTGAACAAGAAGGAAGTCCGCACTTATCAGAGTCTTCTGGGGTCCATTCTCTACGTGGCAAATTGTACGCGGGTTGATATCGCATTCGCGACGAGCGTCCTTAGTCGCTTTGCTCGTGCTCCTCGGCAGTGTGATATGGATGCCTTAATTCATCTTCTACAGTACCTTTACACTACTCGGGAGGTTCAGATCGTATACCATTGTCACGGAGTATATTACCACCAGGAGTGTTTTGTCAATGAGATGATTGCATTCAGTGATGCTGGTTGGGGTACCGAGATTATTACGAGACGGAGTCAAAGCGGATATGGAATCGTTCTGAATGGTGGGGTAGTCGTCTTTGGTTCGAAAATGCAGAAGGTTGTTGCCCTGAGTTCTTCAGAAGCTGAAATTTATGCTGCCACCACATGCGCGAAACTAGTCAAGCTTTATAGAAATCTCTTGGGTCAGATGGGATTTACGCAGACTCGTCCTACTCTCTTGCTAATCGACAATGAACCATGTCTGAGGCTTTTGTGGGACAAGCGAAGTTATAGTCGACTCAAACACATTGATATTCGAACGAAGTATGCTGTTGATTTGGTAGAAAAGGACGAGCTCTATCCAGAAAAGATTCATACTTCTTATCAGCCTGGTGATTTGCTGACGAAAGTTCTGCCTTTGAATCGGTGGAGGCTCCTTGGTGAATTTCTCTTCGGAGACCCCTTACCGGATATGCTGCTCTGAGGATGCTCGCCTGTCATGCTCTCTGCGCTTCTGTCGGGGACAGTGCTACTCTGTTCCCATGCCGTCAGTCGCCAAAGTTGTATGCCCCGTGTGTGATTGACGGTGATCCGAGCTCCAGTCTTCGACAAGGAGATTCAACCGATCCTGCTGCGGTGGCTTCCAGGCTTTATCTTCCGTCTTTTCTCCGATTCAGGGAGGGTGTCTCGGACCCTTGCCACCGAGTCCGTGTCGCTCGAGAATTGTCAGTCTTCCGTCTTCTATCCGATTCAGGGAGGGTGTCTCGGGTGATGTCACCGAGGAGACTCTCATGGAGAACGTGAAGGAATCGGATGAATCGGAAGGAGGATAAAGACAGACACGTCTTCCTCAAGCCTGTGGCTAGCTGCAACCAAGACATCTGTTCTAGGTTAGTATCTTAGAAACTCGCTCATCCTGATCTATGGAACCCATGACGGTAGTGAACGATGAAATTGAATGGCCAAAAAAAAAAAAATGAAAAATGAGAAAGAAATGACGGATGAGTCGAGATCGATAAGTCATGTGGTTGAAATGAAAGCGCTGACGTCAAAAATGATTGTGCCTTGGCAAAACAATGATCCCCGGGGTAGATAGGATAGAAAGGGCCCATAGATTAGAAACGAGAAAATTGTGTTCAAAACAATCAGAGATCAATCAAGGAATTGCAAGAATTCTGAACCTGATCTCTGGAGCTTGATTGGAATTCTAAATTCTTGGCATCATCAATGGGTGGAGACGTCTTCATTCAATTGCTCAATGTGCACGCTTCAGAGAGGTCACATGATGACCAATCCCATCATGAGGATCAGGTTGAAGAGGAGGAGGAGCTGTCTGACTTGAAAGATGCAGATGTGTTCAGGACTTAGTCTTGAGCTGACACTGCAGGCAGCTAGGAAGAGTTTATGATGGAAGATGAGGAGGAGCACAGGTGCATGCGGACAGCGCAGGCGGATGAGGAGCGTCTCTAGTGGCATGCGGATGGTACAAGCTGAGTGCACGAGCATCAGGATGCGCTAGAGGAGGACGGCGCAGGTGCTGCAGGAGTGCTGCTGAAGCGCAAGCGCTGGAGGAGCAGCGCAGGCCCTACGATGGTGGGGAGAAGCCGCAGCGCAGGTGGAGGAGCAGCACAGGTGCACTGTTGGCGGGGTGCGACTGCACTGCATCCGCAGCGCAAGCGGAGGAGGAGCGCAGGTGTCACAGGAGGAGAAACGCAGGTGCACCAGGGTGCACACTTGAAGCGAAGGAGGAGCGCAGGAGGCATGCAAGATGGGGGATGAGCCTGTGCAGAACGGTTGATGGAGTGGTAGCAGCAAGATGACCTTGGAGAGGAGAGCAGCATGGAAGTCAGCTTGTAAAGCTTGAGCGAGCGTTGGAAAGGAGGACATCGCAAGGGACAGCTGCTTAGCTGTTAAGCAGATGATTTTGACAAGCTGAGAAGGTTGCAGACTTCTGACTTGCTTCCCAAAGGGAGGGTGTAAGAACTCAGGTTCTGACAAACCTCTCAGAAGTTCTTTCAGACGCGATAAGTTCAAGGGATGCGTCTAATCAGGTTGTGAACCAAGTGAAGCCTGCAGGTCCAAGCTAGTGGGCTGGAGCTTAGTCTGTGACTTAGAAGATCCGGTTGGTTGGAGCCTGGGGAAGCTGAGGCGGCGCCGGAGGAATCAAGAGGCGCCGGCTGTCGAAGAGGCAGCACTCGTACAGTGGTGGAAGTAAGGCGGTGGTGTGTGAAGGGAAGCTGTTTGGTTGGTCTTGCTGCTACGAGTGTTGGGAATAAAGTGCTGGGGATTGTTGGGAAGTTGATCTGAGTTATCTGAGGTGTTTGGTTGGCTGTGAAAGTCATTGGTGTCTTCGTGCGCACATCATCTGTGAGTCTTGGTCTTTGGACTTATCAGTCAGCTGTTGAGCTGTTCTACTAGTCATTCATCTGTGCACAGACTCTAGGAGTCAGGAATTGATTCCAATACGGTGGCACTGTCACCGTCACCGTCCGTCCGATCACTGGCCCGTACAGTCGGACGGTCACCCCGACCCGTACCGTACCGGGGCCGGCCCTGGTCCGATCACTGGTGCCGGCCGCGGGGCTGGGCTCCCCGGGGGCCCGCCGGCGGGCCGCCCACTGGCCGGGCGGCCGGCGGGCGTCACTAGTGATGTCCGGCGAGTCACAGTTTGGCATCGCCTCACTGTCGGCGGAGTCCGCCGGGGGGAGGCTCCCGGATCGGATGACCGTCGGTCACAGTACTAGTGGCACGTGACGGCGGTAGCGGTCGTCGGAGCCCAGGCCAAGTGGTACCGTGACTTCGGATAGGACGTCCGTGCAAGGGAGCCAAGAGATGCCTCTTGTGTAAGATTTCAGCATGACCTGCTGACATCTCGCTGTAAGACTCCGACAACCAGAAGATCTCCGGATTTTTACCACTCCACATGCTTCCCTTCCCTGTGACCTGCTGACAGCTCGTAACTCCTTTAAGAAGCCCTCCCACTCTCCACGGTGTAACCACGACCACGACTACAACCACCATGCACTCTCTTCGCAGCGATATCAAGCTCCAGCATGCCGCTCTCCCGGCCAACGAGCACACAGAGCTGGTCGCAGACGTCTCCGAGGACGAGGACGAGCTGCTGGCAGAGCTCGACTTCCCTGCGGTGAACAGCCAGTTCGAGACCTCCACGATCCTGGCAGAGGCAGCGCCGCCGCGCGTCTTTCGTCGATCGCAGAGGACAGGACGTGAAGTCAAATCAGGGTCAAGGCGTCAATGCGATGTGCTGCATCGAGGTCTTCGCAATCGCCAGGTTGGAAGAGATCTCAACAAGGCAAACGAAGCAAGGCGACTCGTGCAACTACGTGTCGTACTTCTGTAAGCGGCGTTCAAGAGAGAGAGGATGTAGCTTTGTAAATTAAGTGTGAATACAAGATGAATCGAACATTGTTGCCTAAGTGGGAGATAAGATGATATGCTTTCAATTCATTTACGTTGATGATGTGTGAGCATTGACTTCGAGCGACCTAAATCACTACTGCCGCTTGATGATTCAACGATGACATATGAGTTGTAAAATCACGCAAATCCACACAAGGTTACTTACTTTTTCCTTTGATTCCGTTCAAATCCAGTTATGGCAAGGTTCTCTCATGTAATCTCAGTAACATGACAGCTCGAAGTGAGTATCTTGTAATCAACGACCCTCTGATGGTACTGAGGTGGCCATGCTGGACTATTCAGCGATAGTGCACAATCACAGACAAAGAAAAGCGCACGCATTGAATTCCAGGTTGAATTCGACTTATAATGTATTCACACTTAATTTACAATCCTAATACCCTCCCTCATACGCTCACAGCTGCACAACACGTAGTTGCACCAGACGCCTTGCTTCGTTTGTCCTGTTGAGATCTCTTCCAACCTGGCGATTGCGAAGACCTCGAACAGTGTCTACTTCCATCGCTTCGCGTCCTGTCCTCTGCGATCGACGAAAGACGCGCGGCGGCGCTGCCTCTGCCAGGATCGTGGAGGTCTCGAACTGGCTGTTCACCGCAGGGAAGTCGAGCTCTACCAGCAGCTCGTCCTCGTCCTCGGAGACGTCTGCGATCAGCTCTGTGTGCTCGTTGGCCGGGAGAGCGGCATGCTTGAGCTTGATATCGCTACGAAGAGAGTGCATGGTGGTTGTGCTTGTACTTCAACGCCCGGGCGGATGGGACGGCTTTATAGAAGGCGAGGGGGACGGTCAGCAGGTCACAGGGAAGGGAGGAACGGAGAGTGGTAAAGATCCGGAGATCTTCTGGTTGTCGGAGTCTTACAGCGAGATGTCAGCAGGTCACGGGGACGTAATAATTAAAACTGAAGTCAATTTGAAAGCTCACCTCAGAATGGCCAGAACGAAAATAACAGACTGTGTAACCGCGATCATGCGATCAAGTGTGACGATGGAGCAATAGGAACTAGCAAGCTATCCGATGACTGCATGCGTAAAGAAGTTCGTAAGATCAGTGAGAGGATTGGTACAATCTTTCGACATTCTTGGTTTGCAGGAAATACGGCTAAGGAATTGTCAAAAGCGTAAGTTTTATTAACGAGTAACGTGGTATTGGAACATCCCGGAAAGACGGCATAGAACTTCTCTACTTAGTCTGTTTCTCACTCTCATGCAGTAAGGTTTTTTTATTGCTTTCGGACTAGTTTCTGAGACAGGTCAAGCAGTTTCCTGTCTTCCACAAGAACATTTTTTTTGGTTTTGATCAGAGCTTTATTTTTACATGTTCATGTCGAGTATCTTAGCATAGGAGGTGAAAATAATCACATTTGTTTAGAAGTCACATACGCGCATTCAAAAGAATCGAAATTGCTATGCAATGACACAGAACAATTTGTCATCGAAACGATTGGTTTGAACAGAAAACAAGAAGTTTATTAACCTCAATCACTTTTATAACTAATCACGGTGTCATATCAATACAAGGAATAACGTCAATGATCAATGAGCAAAACGATATGGAACATGTCGAGAGAGAGTCTATAGTATCAGAGCTGTACACATGGCTCAACCGGGCGAAACAGTAGAATTCCCTTTCGACAACATGAACACAAGAAATGGTATGGGTCGTCGTGCCTCCATGGTCCGGATAAGTTCGAAGCCAACCTGTCTGTTTCTGTTCCTTCTGTGACCTTCATCGCTTTCACCACGTTCCTCTCGTTCGCCCTCCGTCTCCCTGTGCCTTTGTGCTCCTCTGGAATATCGTTGGGGAGGAGGTGCTGCCACATGATTTTGAATGACTTGTTCTTTCTCTGATTTCTCGTGGACGATGGGCAGGCTTGCTCGTAGATCGATCTTGAAGCTCTCCTTCAACGCCATCGCCATCAACTCATGCGAGCGCTTGTCCGCCATTCCGTTCCACGTAGACAGCAGAGTTCCTTGCTAAGGACTTGAAGGGGGTGGATGTGGTGAGGCTTACAGGGTCGTGTGATCTCAAGATTCGTACCCATGTGACCACGAGATGACATCACGAGATCTAGCACGCCCTCGTAACCCTGCCGTCAGCCACGGCCTTACAGGCCTTCATCTTCACTTAACTTTGAGTAAACATATTCATCCGTGGCACGCCGCGCCACTAAACCTTTACTCAAAAGTAAACATACAGGGTTTAGCCGGGTTTACTAGCGGCGGGCCCGGCCCGGCCACGGCGGAGTGCGGCACCCACTGGGTCCGACTCGCCGAGGGCCACGCCGGAGAGTCGGACTGGACGCCTGCCGGCCCCCGCGATGCCGCCAGTGCGCCGCCGGGCACTCAGCCCCAGGCTTGATGGCGGTGTGCGGCACCCAGGTACGGTCCGGTCCCGGCGACTCGCGAGCGATTCGGGACGCCGGGTACCGTAGTATGATTAGGCTCACTGGCACGCGAGTCCGTGCTAGGCGGCGGCCCGGTAGCCACTGCCGGCCCTGCCTCTCATTCAACGCGGCTCAGACTCGGCCCTCGTCGCCGGGAGGCCGCAAGTTCCGAAGTTCCGCCGTGACTGACGGTCCGATCGGAGACCCGGCCGACACTGCGGCGGTGACGGTGTCCGAGACCCGGGCGAGTCACTAGTAGCCACTAGTACGGTGAGTGCGGCCAGGCGGCTCGGCGAGGCTTGAACTTGCATGCTGTAAACCACCCTACCCCACCTTCTCCCTCAGTGACATTTTTGAATCCACGAGCCCGTTATTCCACTCAATCACTGTTGTCCAGGTGTTTTTTATCTCTAAGTTTGAAATTTTAAGTGATATATCAGATTGTTTTTGAGATCAACAAGGAAATCTCAGAATTATTAGTATAGGGTGGGTGTACCCCCACCCCCTTTCCTTCCGCACTGAATTCAAATTTTGTTACTTGTTGCTGCTCCCAAGCCCTACAAAAGACACAGTCGTACCCACCCCCTACAAATACATGAGTTACCCCTACCCCCCATATGAAGTGAAATTACAGCATTGCACCCACCTTCATTACCCTACCCCACCCCTTCGGTCGAACAGTTTTCGGTTGTTTCGTTCAACGAGAGTTTTGTGTAGAGGAGGGTAAGGTGGGGTGGGGGTATCCAATTATCTTACAAAAGGTGGGTAGTTATTGCTAATTGAAGGGGTAGGTATTGTTACTTGTGTGAGAGACCGAGGGGGGGTCCGATGGGGTACATGGGGTATAATCTTTAATGGCGGGAGAGTCCAGGCATATGCAGGAGGATAAAAGGAGAGGAGGAGGAAGCGACCGGTTGAAGGAGCAATTGAGGGACAGACGTCATGAAAGGAATGATATCATACAAGGAAGATGAGAAGATAGGAAATCTTGCATTCTGTGGGGAAGAGAAGTGGTTCCATTTCAAATTTCATGCACCGTGACTGAATGGCATGCTAGTATTCATGCACATTAATATCAAAAAGACACTTGTACTGCTACTGCTTCTATTGCTTTCATTTTTTTATTTGTGCACCTGTACATGCCTGCCAGTGCAATGCCAGTCTTGAATGGATTCCACCATACTTGCGTTCTACAAGTGCTGGATCTGTTTAATTTCTGGATGCAGGTTGCCGTCTCGAGCCAGGGCTGACATGCAGGCCTGATTTCTGCAAATTAATATTTTGCAAGAACTTCACTGAGTTTTGACAAGAGAGATCTCGACATCTATTCTCCATCGTCACCATGTTCTCCCGTTTCTTCTGCAAGCTTCAAGCTCTCTGCTGCCTCGCCTTCGTTTCAGGAACCATCGCCTTCGCTCCTACAGCTCCTTGGAAGCCTGCCATCAAGACGACGCTGAGAAACATGCCCGGAGGAAGGAGGTATGCTCGCTTGCTTGAGCTTTTCTGCCGCAGTGATAGTTTCATCAGGCCTTGCCCCCTTCGATCGCTGCATCCCCGTGCGGCCAGGATGAGCAGAACATCGTTCGGCTTGTTTGCTTCGGCTCAGAAGCAGGAGGTTGTCGTGTGGACTAAGGAAGATGTTGTGGAGTGGCTCAAAAGCGAGGGCTTCAATGAGGAGTGGACAAACGCGTTCCTGCAGAACGACATTGACGGGGAGGCGCTCTCCCTGCTCAAGGACCCAATGATGCTGGACTCGATGAGCATCCCGAAGCCTGTCGGGCAACGGCTCAAGTTCTGGCAGAGACTGGATGTGCTCCTGCAAGGATCAGCGGGACAGCAGAAGGCTGTAGAGCCGGCGGCGCCAGCCCCAGTGAGCGAGTCGAGGACGAAGACGATGATGAGGGAAATGTCGTTCGAGGACGCTGTGCGATTTGCGGGCAGCTCGACAGCAGCACCGCTGCAGGGGGACAAGGTGGACGCGCTGGTGAGGGATGAGACGGCCTTCATCGAGTCCATGTGCGAGCTGCTTGCCGAGCTTGACGCCAAGGACAGGGACATTACGCTGTTGCTGGACATGAAGGACCGGCTGGTGCTGCTTTTCTCCGTGGTTGTGGTGGGTGAATTCAACGCTGGCAAGTCATCCCTGATCAATGCGATCTTGGGGTCGAAGTTCTGCGAGGAGGGTGTAGTTCCCACTACGACAACCATCAACATGCTTCGATATGGGACTGGGGAGGAGAGCGGTAAGAAACAGAGGAACAAGGACTACCAAGAGCTCTTCCTGCCTGTGGAGCTTCTGCGCCAAGTGACTCTCGTGGACACCCCGGGGACCAACGCGATCATCAAAGAGCAGACGCGGCTGACGAAGGGCTTCATCCCTCAGAGTGACCTCATCATCTTCGTGACAAGCGCCGAGAGGCCCATAACAGAGACGGAAGGGAAGCTGCTGGAGTACATCCGAGAGTGGGGCAAGAAGGTTGTGATGGTGCTGAACAAGGTTGATCTCTTCGACAGCGAAGAGAACCTCGAAAAGGTGAAACAGTTCGTTCGCGAGAATGCTGCGAGGATCCTCGGGGTGGAGCCTCCTGTCTTCGGCATCGCCGGTCGTCTTGCCCTCCAGTCGAAGCTGATGCAAGCGGACAAGAGTGCTGACCCCAAAGCTGCGGAGGATCTGTGGAAGGAGAGCCGGTTCGAGGAGCTGGAGTCTTACGTCGTCCGGACGCTGACGGACAAGAAGGAGGCGGCAAAGCTCAAGCTGGAATCTCCCCTCGGGGTCGCAGAGAGGTTCCTCGTGAACTACAAGAAGGCTTCGGAGCTGGGGAATCAGATCACGGAGGACGACAAGCAGGTGCTGAACCAGATCAAGCAGAGCATCGAAGTCTACGAGGCCGAGATCGAGTCCGAGATGAACTTCCAGTTGAAGCGCCTCGACTCCATCCTTAACTCCGTCCAGCAGAGGGCGAAGACGACCACCTCCAAGGTGCTCAGCGGCACCTACATCGCCAGCAACATCGTCGGCTGCCTCACCAAGAGCAAGTCGATCGAAGGCGAGCTGGAGGCTGCTATGGACGTTGATCTCGACAAGGAGGTGAAGGAGCTTGCGGAAGACTTCGGGCGCATCCTCCGAGACAAGCAGGAAGCTCAGTGGAACCTGTGCTCTGCTCTCATCGACCAGAGGCTTCGCAGCCGCCAATGGAAGCAGATCAGCCTCCAGAAGCCCGACACCTCTCTCGCCCTCCGCTCCATGCAGGAGACCCTGGAGAGCCCCAGCGCCGGCATCTCCGCTCAGTTCGATCCCCGCATCGAGCGCATGGTCCTTGGTCAGTCGGTGACGCAGAAGGCGTTTGACGTGGCGGTTGCAACTGCGTCAGTAGCCGGAGGAGGTCTGCTCGCGTTGGAAGTCTTCAATGCCGGCCTCCTCGACGCCCTGGCCTTCCTGACGACCGGCGGAGGCCTCGCCTACTCCCTGGGGGTCTACCCGAGCATCTTGCAGGATGAGGTGGCGGATGATCTCGACTCCCGATCGGCCAAGTGGAAGGCAGCGGTGAAGGAGGACGTGGAGAAGCTCTTCCAGCAGGCGGCCAGAACCTCGGCCTTCGAGATCGAGCAGGCGTTCGCTCCCTACGTGGATGCCGTCTCGGTGGAGGCGGAGCGATGGACTAAGGTGAAGCAGCGGGTGGACGCGAACCTGCGGGAGTTGTCGGAGCTTCGCGGGCGTTTGAAGTCTCTTTGAGCACGACGTAGAGCTAACAAGTAAACCCTCGCGCTAGAACGAGACCTCCGCACTTCTGCTCGCCTCCATCCTGTCCAGCAACGATGCGAGCCTTGCTGAGTTGGGAGCTGTCTCTGCCAGTGAGGTCGTCATGATGATCGCACCTCCCCGCACTATGTCGTAGCGCTGCATCTGAGTCAGAGGGGAGGGGGAGAAGAGTCATTTACCGTCAGTGTTGACTCCACAAGCATGTGCAGAGATGAGAGGTCCTTCTGCTCTACGTGGGAGCTTGACAAGGGAGCAGAGAGATACGAGTCCCAGCCCCTTGCGCTCTCCCTGCTCTCCTCTGTCCTCTCCCTTTCTCTACTCCTCTCCTCCCTCTCCCTTTCTCTTCTCCTCTCCTCCCTCTCCCTTTCTCTACTCCTCTCCTCCCTCTCCCTTTCTCTACTCCTCTCCTCCCTCTCCCTTTCTCTACTCCTCTCCTCCCTCTCCCTTTCTCTACTCCTCTCCCTCTGCCTGTCTCTAGTCCCCTCCTTCCTCTCGTAGATTTTCTGTTCATGTTCGTCTTCTCTTGAGTTCTTGTGAGCGTGCAGCAGAATGTCGATATCCCCATCAGCTGTGAAGATCGCATGACGAGGAGCATGGGAGGAAGTGGGCCGGGCGGTCACATCACCCTGCTGCTCACGGAACGATCGGTACAGGTCGAGGAGCTGACGTCGCCGCCAGGAGGACCAGGCGAGTCTGCTCATGCGTGCCATGGTGCTGCATAGGAGGGAGTGAAACCGGAGCCAGCGAGTCCAGAGGCGGAGGGTCTGCCGCCTGCTCCGTGCCTGCTGCTTGTCTGTCAAGCTCCACAGAAGCTGTTGAAGACGCAGAGCTCGGCGCCATCGCTCAAGGCAACGCGCTCTGATCTGAACGCTCCTCCTCCTCCTCCCACTCCCCACCACGACCCATCTCAGACGTCGCACTCGCGCCATGCAGTGCCAAGCCTGCAAGCAGAGCCTGGCGATGCCTTGCCTCCTCCTCCTGTCCAGCATGCAAAGAACCACATTCATGTCCGCCTTCTCCGAGACTCTCGCGCGCCTGCTCTTCTCCTTCCATCGCGAGAACGCGTAGCTTGAGACCCAGCGTTCGACGCGGTACGTCTGAAAGAATCGGATGTAGGCCATGAAGGATGGAGCATTGCCATGCGAGACTGACGAGACCTCCCACGTGAGTCTCGACAAGAGTTGGCTCTTGTCTCGCTCTGCCTGCAGCTCTCGCTTGCTTCGCTCATTTCGCCGTTGAAGCGCCACGATCTCCTGCATGCACTCGTTCCAGAAGGAAGGCTTCTCCGCCAGCATCTCCTCCTCATCCTCCTCGTCGAATGTTTGATTCAGCAGGAGCTCCCCTGACGAGTTGCACTGATCCGCATCATCGCAGAACGAGAGCAGTGGCTCGAACATGCGCTGGTCGATCCTCGAGCCCCTCGAGTAAGCAAGAAGCTCCTTACAACAGACACTGTGCCCTTGATTGCTGTGTGCCTACCCCTCTCTCCATCCCTCCTCTTACTCCTCTCCCGTCAACCTCTCTGCTTCTTTCTCCCTCCCCATCTCTTCCTCTCTCTGGTGGTGCTATTCCTCTTACTGCTCCTCCTCTCTCTCTTGCTCCTCCTCTCCCTCTCTGCTTCTTGTTCGCTTCCTCTGCCTCAGCCTGGACGCATTTCCCGCGCTTGATCCCAGACTCAATAGCTCTGAGGAGGGCCGGGCCGTTGGCGGTCGATTTGGCATGGCAGGGGGAGGGAGAGGGGCGGAGGCAGTGGAGGAGGAGGAGGGGGAGGAGAGGAGGAGAGGAGGAGGATCGAGTGAATCACAAGGAAGAAGTTGAGAGCAGGTCACCATGTCTGCATGCGGGGTTGGAGTGACTGTCGAGTACGGCAAGGGCGGGTACGTGATAACCAACCTAAAGGTCAAGGGCCCAGCGCACAGAGATGGTAAGGGCAAGAAACATGCGGCTCGCGCTGACAAGCTGACAGGAACGCTGAGGATAGGCGATGTGATCTGCTCCATCGACGGGAGAGACGTCTCCTCCTCCTCCCTCTCCATCGCCCCCCTCGTCCTCGGTTTGGCAGGGACGCCCATTGAGGTCAGTCGACGACCTGCTGCTGCTGCCCTGACGAGCATGGGAAGATCGGGTATCGACGACAAGGGCAGGATGCTGTTAGATATGTGAGGCTGATCCGAGGGGGGATGAGAGGGAAGAGACCCTTCCTCTCCTCGCCCTCGCAGTTTTCTGATGAGGACGAGCTTGCAGCTCCAAGGTTCATTTGCGTCTTCTGCTCCCCATCTTAGCGCCTTCCTTTCGTCACTCTCCTCCTTCAGTACCATCACCCAAGACTAGCCCCTCCCTGCTCCCATCACTGTATCTACCACCATCCGATTGTCACCGTCATCATCATCATCGTCCTCGTCCTCGTCCTCGTCCTCGTCCTCGTCGTACTGTGACTTCTTCTTCACAGGGCTGCTTCCTCCTTGTCCTTACCCAACGACATCCTGGTCCATCTCTTTGACATCGACGAGGTGAGGGCACCTGAGCTGCTTGTCTTGCTCACTCAGCGAGCAGGAGGCGAACTCTTCGCCCACGTCGGAGCAGGGCAGGTGGGATGTTCACTCGAGGATAAGAGACTTTCTGATCGCCTTCTGCAGCAGTCAAGCTGCTCCCAGTCCAGGTTCGCGCGTGTGCGAAGTGAGTGCAGGAGGCTGAGGGTCGGCAGAGGAGCGAACAATCTCGACTCGTCCTCGCACCAGCATGTCCAGGTAGTCTCACTGTCCTCTCCTCCTGGAGTCGCTCACACCCCCTCGACTCAGACCTACGACTTCATCGCGTAGCACTGCCGTGGGGTTCTCCATCATCACAGTGCAGCAGGCAAGGGCTTGAAGGAGGAGGAGGAGGAGGAGGAGGAGGAGGCTCATGATGTGCTGGCAGGGGATTGACGCCCATGAGCTTGGGTTGTCACTGCAGGTGAGGTGCCAGCATGAAGGCGCAGGCTTGACGCATGATACAGGATGCAGCCGAGCAGGCAAGCAGGCCGAAGGCGTCGCGAGTCCCTGAGATGAAGCTCAAGGAGGTGAGGGGGGAGGGGGAGAGTCAAGCTCACGGCAGTGCCAGGCAGAGCAGCGACAGGCAGAGGAGGGGACGTCAGGCAAGCGGCTGCAGGCGAGTTGACAGCTTGTGACGGGTTTACAGACTCCCTGCCGAGACAGACGGGAAGGAGAAGGAAGGGAGTAAAGAGGGGAGGGCACATAGAAGAGATTCTCGCTCTATCCAAGGACGTCAGTCGAGCTCTACCCCAGTCCTGCCCTGACGTCCCTGCAGGTGCCAGGAGTCGGGAGATACTCTCCCCCTCCTCTCCTTCGCTTGACCGGGGGGTTCAAGTTCGGATCTGAGCGGCGGACGTTTGGCGTCTCCTCCTCGGTGAGCGAGTGAAGCATCAGCCCCCGCGTGCTCTCATCGCCTGACAGGACACGCCTGGAGTCGGCCAGTACGACGTGACGAGACTTCAGTCATCTAGCAAGGTCAGTGCTGCTAGCTTCCTCCTCCTCCTCCTCCTCCTCCTCCTCAGCTCCTCCTTCCACTGCCCCCTCCTCCTCACCCTGTCTTCTCTTCCTCCCCCTGCCTCCTCCTCAGCTGCTCCTTCCTCATCCTGGAGCAGGGTCTGTGGTCGTTCGGAGGATCCAAGAGGTTCGCTGGAGCATCGCAGCAGGTGCTGCCTTGTTGTGGAGGGAAGACGTGAAGGACGAGGCAGGAGGAGATGCCGGGGCCCGGCGAGTATCAGCCCGAGACCGTCAATCTCTCTCGCTCGGTGGGAAGCAAGTTCGGCAAAGCTAGACGGGGACGGCTCAGCAACGTGGAGCCGAACGTGCCTGGTCCGGGGGCGTACGGGCAAGACGAGGAAGAGGAGGAGGAGGAGGAGGAGGAGGAAAAGAAGAAGGCGCAGCAAAGGCCTCTCCTTCCTCGCTCGTTCTACCTTGACGCTGAGCTGCGACGCTCCTCTTCCATGCCTGGGCCTCTCGACTACTGCACCACCCACCAGCCCTCCTGGTCGAGGACGCAGGCGGGAGTCAGGTGAAGCCTCTCCTCCTCCCCCCCCCCCGGCTGCTCGTGACAGGTCGCAGCATCGGACGAGCGTCGATGCATGCCAACCAAGCGCGTTCTGGCGCCACTCCAGGCCCAGGATCCTACAGGACTCGAGCTGGGCATGCACGACGTTTCTTTTCGTTCCCGCGCGCCGACAGCCGATCGAAGAAGAGCAGTCGATCTCCTGGCCCTGGTGCTCTGCGTGCTTCCCGTGCTGCCCGAGTCATCCTCCTCCGCAGGCTCCTACGGAATCTTCTCCCCAACTCGCGCAACGGGCGTCAACTTGTCGTCGGGCGTGGGTCACGTCCCCCTCCACGAGGCCGACCAGTTGCCAGGGCCAGGCAAGTTGCGAGACCCTCGGCCGTCCCTCACCTTGAGCGTCAGGAGAGTACAACGTGAAGACGTTCGCGAGCTCGGGAGGGTGGCGCTACATGCCTGGTACCTCAGTCGCATGCTCGAGTGCCTTTGTGACAGGCCGGCAGGCAAATTGAAGCGAGATTCTTACCTCGCAATTGATCCTTCGATACCCGGGCCAGGGCAGTACAACCCAGCTGATCTGTACGTTCCTCTCGCTTCCTGATGTTCGTTGACGCTGTGCAGACCTGATCCGTACTCGCTCCCTCGGCACGGCAAGCAATGGAAGTCCATGCTCGCACATTACCCCTATCAAAGATTTCGAGTTTAATCTGTATCACTGCTGCACACTTTCACTATTTCTACATTCACCCGCACAGGAGAGGCGTCTCCTCGCAAACAACCAGCTCTCAGCTCCCTCAGTACTCGAGAATGGGCTCTCCATCGTTGACGATCTTAGGGATGTTACACTGAAAGCAATTCAGGAGAGCAAGAACAAGAGCAGACGACGCTGACCTTGAGGTCGAACACTCGCGAGAGAAGAATCTTGAACAGCTTCTGCACGTTGATGGAGTGCGATGCCGACGAGAAAATGAGAGGAGCCTTCATGGCCTTGGCGTAGCGTCTCGCCTGCTTCGTGATGTCTTGTATGCGCATGTGAGGGAGACTCGAGTGAATCTACATCCATGCACCTGCTTGCTCTTCGGGGGTGTAGGAGGCGAAGATGTCATACTTGGTTCCGACGAGGATAGCGACAGCTGTCTTGTTGAATCCTCTCGCCTGTCTGTACCATTCCTTGACTGACTTGAGTGTTCCAACGCGCGATAGATCGAACATGAAGAGGATGGCAGCAGCGTCATTACACACCAATGGCAGCATGTTGATGAACTCTTTCTGCCCTCCCAGATCCCAGATAGAGAATGTTATGTTCGCGTTCCGAATGCTCACTGTCTTCTCCATGAAATTTACACCTGCACAGACATCACAAGCAATGGTCGATTTATAACAACTGACCTAATGTTTGAATATAATCTTCATCAAACGAACCCTCTACATATTTCACCATCAAACTCGTCTTGCCGATTTGGGCATCTCCAACCATTCCAACCTCCACATCAGCATCAGGAGGAGTTGATGTCTGAGATTATCTACCTTGACAACAACGTCCTCCTTGGAAGACGAGGCATCCGCTCCAGACGACGCGCCTTGCACTTGAAGTGATGCAGCCTCAGCAACCGACATGATCGATGAATCTCTCCTCGGGTAGTTAATTCATACACTGCGATGAACGTTCAGGTCATAGTGGGCGTTTTATCCTCTCATCCTTGAAAACCATTCGAACATTTCCTGACTCAGAAAACTCGAGAACAGATCAGAGTTGTGAGTAGGAATGAGGGAGGATCGCGTCATTGTGGCGCTAGCATCTCATCCACTGTTCACTGTCTACCTTTCTTTGCTCCCTTCATTCTCTCCTCCTCCTCCTCCTCCTCCTCGTCCTCCTCCTCCTCCCCCCCCCCCCCAAAATTACAATGTCCCTTATCACACGGCTGGGCGGCAGAGAGTCAGCACAAGAGCAATGGAAACACACGGATACATGAGAAGGGCCAAATCTTCTTCCAAGGTCTCTGAGATTGCCTGGCTAACTGTTTCAAAACATCGCACTTGTGAAAATTCCATACCGGCCTATAAACAAACGCAAAGAGCGCTCCGACACACATCACAGCAAGAACCTGTACACGCCAATTTAAATTCCTGGGGCAAAGACGTTCCGAATACCGCATCGAATACGTTGGAACGATTTGAGCAGAAATTCCAAAATCCTTCAGCGAAGGCCTGAAAAAGAAAAGGAAGGCATCAACACCATCCTCCTATTTGCATCACTTGCTCACCCGAATCATGACCTCCACCAATAGCGCAACTGTTATGAAAACCTCCAACAACTGCAACACATGACGTCACAAGATGTCAGGTTGCAACGTCCCCAACCAGAAACCACACGATGTGTGGAGCCTCGTCGTACTTGTAGAAGCTGTATACAATAGCAAATACATTTATACATATCATGAGAACCTGCAGACTCGTGTCACGCCATGAAACTATTTGAGTTGGTTGATTACGTAATAGTAACTGAACCATGAGGAGAAAACGATCAGTCGA